CAGGTTACTGAAAACAGTAAAGGGTTTTTACGAAGATAATGAGGCTCAAGTTAGAGTATGTGGGATTATTATTATTATAATCAAAAAGAAGCATTAAACTTACTAGGGTCATATAGCGCTGAAAGTATGTAGGAGAGAGGGAAATCATTTCCAAGTAAAAGTAGGTCTTAGACAGGTATGCGTGATGTCACCATGGTTGTTGAATACATTTATAGATGGGGTTGTAAGATAACTGAATGTTCGGGTGTTGGCAAGAAGTGTCGGGATAAAAGATAAAGAATCTAACACAAAGCGAGAGTTGTCACAGTTGTTTTTTGTTGATGACACTGTTCTTCTGGGAAATCCTGAAGAGAGGTTTTAGAGGTTGTTGGACGAGTTTGGCAGGGTATGTAAAAAAGGAAATTAAAAATGAACATAGGAAAGAGTAGGTGACGATGATAACAAAAAAAAATTTAGGAAATGAAAGATTGGATATCAGATTGAAGGGAGAGAGTATAGAGGAAGTGAATGTTTTCAGATATTTGGGAGTGGATTTGTCAGTAGATGGTTTTATGAAAGATGAGGTGAATCATAGAATTGATGAGAGGCAAAAGGTGAGTGGAGCACTGAGAAGTAGGTGGAGACAATGCAATCCATGGAAGCAAAGAGGGGGATGTATGTGAGTATAATTATACCAATGCTCAAATATGGGTGTGAAGCATGGGTGGTGAATGTTGTAACAAGGAGAAGGCTGGAGGCAGTGGAGATGTCATGTCTGAGGGTGATGTGTGTATATAATGAAGAGAATCCGTACCTTGGAAATTAGGAGGAGGTGAAATTAGGTGGAGGGTTACTAAAAGTATTATCCAAACAGCTGAGGAGGGGTTATTGAGGTGGTTTGGACATATAGAGAGGATGAAACAAAATAGAATGACTTGGATTACATTTAAATCTGTAGTGGAAAGAAGGCATGGTAGGGGATCATCCTAGGAAGGATTGGAGGGAGGAGGTAAAGGAGGTTTTGTGTGCGAGGGGCTTGGACTTCCAGCAAGTGTGTGTGAGCATGTTAGATAGGAGTGAATGGTGACAAATGGTTTTACGACTTGATGTGCTGCTGGAGTGTGAGCAAAGAAACATTTATAAGGGGGATTCAGGTGATATAGTGGGGATATAGTTTTGGAGTGGTTGGTGATTTTATTTAATAAATGTATGGAAGAGAGTAAGGACCCAGGGATTGCCAGAGCATGCATAGTTCTTTTGTATAAAGGCAAAGAGGACAAAAGAGAGTGCAAATATTATAGGGAAATTAGTCTGTTGAGTATACCTGGTAAAGCGTATGGTAGAGTTATAATTGAAAGAATTAAGATTAAGATGGAGAGTAGGATATCAAATGAACAAGGCTTTAGGAAGGGTAGGGGGTGTGTAGACCAAGTGTTACAGTGAAACATAGGTGAACAGTATTTAGATAAGGGTGCAGAGGCTTTTGCGGCTTTTATGGATTTGTAAAAGGCGTATGACAAGGTGGATAGAGGGGCAATATGGCAGATGTTGCAAATGTATGGAATAGGAGGTAGGTTACTGAAAGCAGTGAAGAATTTTTACGAGGATAGTGAGGCTCAGGTTCGAGTATGAAGGTGAGAGGGAGATTATTTCCCAGTAAAAGTAGGCCTTAGACAAGGATGTGTGATATCGGCATGGTTGTTCAATATAGTTATCGATAGGGTTGTAAGAGAAGTGAATGCTCGGGTGTTGGCAAGAGCTGTGGGGTTAAAAGATAAAGAATCTAACATAAAGTGGGAGTTGTCACAGCTGTTCTTTGCTGATAGCACTGTGCTTTTGGGAGATTCTGAAGAGAAGTTGCAGAGGTTGGTAGGGTATGTAAAAGAAGAAAATTAAAAGTGAATATAGGAGAGAGTAAGGTGATGAGGACAAAAAAATATAGGTGACAAGGGAGGGAGAAAGTATGGAGGAAGTGAATGTATTCAGATATTTAGGAGTGGATGTGTCAGCAGATGGGTCTATGAAAGATGAGGTGAATCATAGAACTGATGAGGGGAAAAAGGTGAGTGGTGCACTTAGGAGTCTGTGGAGACAAAGAACTTTGTCCATGGAAGCAAAGAGGGGAATGTATGAGAGTAGTTATACCAACGCTCCTATATGGGTGTGAAACATGGGTGGTAAATGTTGCAACAAGGAGAAGGCTGGAGGCAGTGGAGATGTCGTGTCTGAGGGAATGTGTGGTGTGAAAATAATGCAGAGAATTTGTAGTTTGGAAATTAGGAGGAAGTGCAGGATTACCAAAACTTTTATCCAGAGAGCTGAGGAGGTGTTGCTGAGGCGGTTTGGACATGTAGAGAGGATGAAACAAAATGGAATGACTTCGAGAGTGTATCTATAGTGGAGGAAAGGCGGGGTAGGGGCCAGTCTAGGAAGGGTTGGAGGAGTGGGGTAAAGGAGGTTTCGTGTGCGAGGGGCTTGGACTTCCAGCATACCTATGCGTGAAGCTGTGTTAGTCGATGCGTGCGAGAGTACAGCAAGGTTTATAGGCCTGTCCATGTAGCCTGTTGGAGGTGAGCGGGGTGAACATTATATCCAGGGATTCGGGGGAGGGAAACGGCAAAGGGGACTTAAGTCGTTGGAGTGGGAAGTACAATGAAGGCATTCGGAAAGGAGGGATTAAGTTGCAGTATGGATTTAAATGCGATTGTGAGCGCGGTTGCATTTACAGTTAGGGGAAAACAGTTATGTGGAGTGAATGATGATGATTATATATTATATATATATATATATATTATATATATATATATAATATATATTATATATATATATATATATATATATATCATCATCATCAAGAGTCACTTGTAAGACAACTTAGTGTTTGTGTGGGATCTTCAAGGTAGTGTGAACAAGGCGAGGACTAGTGGTGGCAGAGTGAGGATGGTTGTGACGGCCTGTATGGTGGTGGGTTGTGGCGAGGGTTTGGCTCGGTGGGGCGTGGTAGAAGACTGGATACCTATGACAACCTGGTTTAACAACTGGCTACGAGGTGCGTGGTCATCGGATTACCATTGAGGATCTCGGAACGAGTCCGAAGGACAGCTGATCATGGACTGCTATCAAGGTCAACTCCAAAGGTTTTTTTATGTTGGGCAATTTTTAACACTGCTTTCGTGTTACCTGAGTTTACCTGTAGAGTTTAAAACGGGGGTCAAGCCCGGCAGGTCTGTGACCAGCCTCCTGGTGGATCACCCCTGATCAACCAGGCTATTCATGCTGAACGCATAAACCAATACGAAGCCACAGCTGCTTGATTAATGAACATCATTAGTGATTGTCCTAGTAGCACTTAGGTCTGGGGGTCTTGGTAGTCCCTTATGTATGCGAGGAATTACTGCAGAGTCCCTGGATGGTTTGCAAGCTGGCACTGGACAATCACCTAAAGGTTGCCGGTCTGATCGGCGGGGTGTGGCTCGACGTTGGTTTGCGTGCACCAGAGCAACCTGGTTACAGGGGGCTGGTCCGGATCCAGAGGCTGGTCAAGACGGCAGGGGCGTTACCCCCGATAACAAGTCTCACCGAACACTTTTCCTGGTAGAAAGCTGACAAGCAGTGACAGCTCACGAAATCGTTAAAAACGATTGTAAACAAACCACGGAACGGAACGAGTGGAGTTTAAACCTATGTCGAGTAAGTCGTACAACTCCAGGCCTGGAGTTTTATGACTCACTCGCCATAGGTTCAAACCCCACCCGTTCCCTGGTATTACAAGCAGCGATAATGTGCCTAGAATTATCAAACAATATGTTACATGAAAGGACATATGTGCAACTAATTAGATATTTGAGTGTGGTGCAATTTTTCATTGGCTGCACATATGCCTCTTTTTCAAACGACCCACAAGACTCGGGAAAACAGAAAAAAAAACTTTATTTATGGAAGTAAACAGAATTTCGTTCACACATAATGAACATTCTCAGTTTCACTACAAATGAAGGTTTTTCTGTTCCCTTAAGTCTCTTCATCACCAATACATTCATTCTCTTGACATAAATCTAGACGTTAAAAAACTAGAAGTGAGTCAGGAAAAGTTTGTTAATATTCTCCTGCCACATATATACTGTATAACAATAATAATAATGCAATAATATCTTTATTTCTACAAGTACATGTACAAAGTATACAGTCCTAGCTGACATCAATGACGTTTGTTATGCTGAGCATTTCCGGCAAATTAGATCAGTTTTGTCCAGGATGCGACCCACACCAGTCGACTAACACCTAGGTACCCATTTTATACTGATGGACGTACAGGGACAGCAGGTGTCTTATGGAAACACGTCCTTAATGATTTCCAGCCGTACTGGAGATTCGAACTCCGGACCTCAGTGTGTGAGCTGAGTGCGTTAGCGATTGAGCTACGGGACATGTATACCAGAAGTACTTACCTACATGTGATTGCAGGGGTTAATTCACAGCTCCTGGCTGTGTATATATCTCAGTGTATACACACAGAGAGATTAATTTTTACTTTAGGGATTAAGTATTCTTGACTGGTGGTGAGTAGGTGACTTGCAGCCTTAATGACACTTTCTTCCTTTATTAAACCCAATTAACCAGTTTTATTCTCCTATTCCCAACTGTGATACATAGCTCAGTAATAATATTTGTCTGTTAATTGTAGTTTACACACATACACACACCTCTGTAAGATGTTTTATCTTTATTGATCCCAAATTCCCCATTTGATCCGTTTATCAGGCTAAGTTTGTTATTATATATTTTAAAAATGAAGATTGTTTGCTTCAGTGATTTATTGATAGTAGTAGAACAGTGCAGTGTTTACCTCATGGTCCCGAGTGAAAGCACTGCATCACTCTGGTTTATTATATTAATTATAAGTCACAGTACAGCCTGGTTGATCAGGCCCTGATCCACCATGAGGCTTTGTCACAGACCGGGTCGCGGAGGCGTTGACCCCCGAAACCTTCTCCAGGTATACTCCAAGTGGTTTTAGAGTGATTCTAAGTTTCGATATGACATCGCAATGTATTTTTTTATTTTTACTTTTTAATATATTTCACGTTAATATAACGTCAGTGTATAACTTTTGGTATACTCAAGTTACCAGTTTATTATTTCAGCAAATGATTAAGGAAGCTTCAGGACATATGTTCGTAGCGACCAGGAGGAGAGCTTTCTTGAGGCAAGTCAAGGTACTGATCCCACAGTCTTGGAGCAACACAACCATCGACCAGGTCGCCACCACTGAGAGCTTTATGGTAATTACCTCTGCTCTCTTTTGCTACTTTATACACTTACGGACAAAAAAAAAAAAACTTGAAACTTGTTTATGGATAGTTGTAATATGTAACGGTGATGAATGATTACATGCAGAACACTAGGGAAGATTAGTGATTAATGCAAATGAGAGGTGGTCCAGGTCAGGGAAAATGTCTCCACGCAGGTTTTAGTCATATGTTGACTTGTTCATTGATAAGCACGTAGTGAATGGAGGGTATCTGACCAGCTACGAATGTGAAGTGAAGCATATGTAACCGAGCCTTTTTATTACACGACGTTTCGCCCTAAACAGTGCTTTATCAGGAATTAATAACGGCCTATTTTGGGTGAAACGTCTTCGAATAGTGAGGCTCACTCTGATACATGTGTCTCATTCACAGTTGGTCAGCTACCCTCCACTCACTACATAATTAATTACCACTGAGAAAGTCATCATATGAGTAAAACCTGCGTCAGGAGACATTTTCTCTGATCAACCAAATACCACCATTGAAGGTGTAGTGAACAAGACTACTAGTGCAGTAAACATGTACTGACATTACTACTAGTATAGTAGACATACACTACCATTACTTCTAGGGCAGTAGATATATACTACTATCGCTAGTGCAGTAGACATAAACTGTCACTACTACAAATAAGAAAGAAAAATGAGGAGAATAATAGGCTGGAATGGATATGGTTAGAGAATTTAGAATTGCTGTATAAGAAGACTATATTTTTACATTTTGGGTGGGTGTAGTCTGAAGACCAGACCACAGAGGCGATGATTCCCGGAACCATCAACATTCAACTTTTTTTTTTCACTATCAACATGGAGAGTAACTTTGAAAAATGTGTTTGAATGTCAAATCATCAGTATTCTCGCACCATATTCTTTAATGAATTTGTGCCTTACAGAAGAGTGACATCCGCGTGGACCTCCCCCATGCCATCTACAAAAACCAGCCGTACACAGAGCAGCCTGGGGAGTGTGGGGAACCGGGAGAGTACATCCACCTCACACCAGAATATCTCACTCAACGCAAATTTTCACTCTGGTGGGGACCTCCAGGTTAGTCTCGCACTACTAGTGCATCAACTCTTTCTAACGAGTAAAAAAAGACCTTCAGAGTGATTTATGCGAATCGTTCCAACGAGTTTTTTTTTTTTTTATTATTAACCTTTTAGTATTCTTCATTCTGATTCATGAAATTGCTTTTCAGACGTTCCACTAACCACTAGTGGTGTCAGGAATTAAGTTCATTGTGACTTGCGAGGGGTGACAGTGTTATCAGTTATTATTTTGAAACAGTTTACTCAGTGAATACAGTGACGATACCATGGTTAAAGCAATTCACAAGTAACGCACACTTTGAGGAAACTTTTGATGACGTTTCAATACGTCCTGGACCATTGTCAAGCTGCAACTAAACGAGAGAAGAGAGATAAGACAGGCCAGAAAGAAGACGGGGAAGGTGGGAGTAGCGGTAGTAGTGGAAGTAGTTAAAATAGTAACAGTGGTAGTAATAATGGTAGTACAAGTAATAGAAGCAGTAATAAAGAGTGCAGTAGTAGTAAGCAATTAATAATAACGGTCTTGGGACCGTCTTGAGTCCGTGCTGGACATGCATGGTGCTGGACGGACCCAAACGTCGTCATGAGTTTCATCTTTTAATTGTGGATTACTTGTGAATAACGTGTGTATGTTAATTATTGTTTACAAATATATTAAATATATGTGTGATTCGAGAAAGGTATCCCATCCCATGTTATGTGCGATAATCTATAACTATTTGTGTATACCTGAATAAACTTATCCATAAGCCCAGCCTCCTTTACCTCAATACATGCAAAAGGAATAGTGCAGAGTATGGCATGTTTCTGATGCAGTTTAATACCAGCACTGAAGATTTAACAGTCGTATATGACTGTAGAGTGAAACTACGTCCTGGGATTTTTTCTGCTTTTGCGGCATTCGGGACATTCTGCCCCGTAGCCTGGTGGCTAAATCTCTCGCTTCACACAGCGAGGGTCCGGGTTCGACTCCCAGCGAGGGTAGAGACATTGGGAGTGTTTCTTTACACTGGTTGTCTATGTTCCCCATCAGTAAAATGGGTACCTGGGTGTTAGTCGACTGGTGGGAATCGCATCCTGGGACAAAACTGACCTAATTTGCGGCTTTCTATGTAACAGTATATCACTGATGTCAGCTAGGACTGTATACCTTGTACTTGTAGAAATAAAGAAATTATTATTATTATTAATTTTAAGTGTTTTAAATAGGAATCAGCAAGCAATAAGAGGTTTGGCCGGGTTTGAAAGATTTTCAAGATAGTACTATTAAATTTTCAGTGGCTGCCAGTCAGAAGAGGCATTCACAAGTTAATGCATGGAATATAATATCCCAGTTTCTTCAATTAAAATAAACATTTGGCAACTATATAGCCTAAAACCAATATAAACTTTTCCACTAAGTAAAATATACCAGATATGAAAGTCTAAAACCAGCCTGTAGAGGCATTCTTTAATTAACACAGAGACCACTATCCCAAAATCCACCAGAACTAGGTTTGAAGTCGCTCAGAAGTAGCATTCCCAAGTTATCAGTGTTCAGATTTGGAAGTCTATTGGATTAGGCACTTACGAATCACATGAAAAACATTATTTCAATTTTCCCAATATAATCACTAAAACTGGCAAATATGCACCCTACACAGCCTACAAGCAATCAAAATCTTTCTCTGTGATACGCAAGTTATTAAGGTTCATAGCCAAGCAGAAGAGGCATTTTCGTTATTGCACAGAAACCAATTTGTTTTAATAAAATTAGTAAATTAAAACCTACACACCCTAAAATCAACACGAGTCTTCCTTTGAAAAAAAAGCATTAAAAGCTTGAAGCTGACAGAGATATTCTCCAATTACTGCACAGAATCCAACAGTTCCAAGTTTATTAATCAGTCCCTCAACCTCCAGGCTGAGGGACTCATTACCCCAAACACCCCATCTTCCACCGTTCTCTGTATTGGACTGAAGAAGCCACTTGGTGTCGAAACGTTTCCTCAGTAAAGATTCCCAAATATTGCACAAGTGTCATTCTTCAACTCGTCGGTTTTCTAAAGCATTTACATCACATTTCTTAACTGTTACAAGATGGTACATCTGCACTACACAGTTTAATCCCGACAGGTATCACCATTTAATAATATGCATCGGTCATTAAAGTTTGAAGCCATTCCAAAAAGGTATACTCAACATATTTTATGAAAAAAAAAGACCATAATTTTGAAAAATAAAATGATCACAATGGCACATACACACTTTCGCAAAGTTTGAAGGCGATAAAGAGGAGGCTTTCTCAAGTTATTGCAAGGAAACCAAAATTAAAAGTGGCTTTATAAAACTGACACAAGGGCACCTGCCCAGTGCCATAGTCTCTATGAACCATCGCTTAGTTATAGTTCACATTATTGAAAATTTAAAGTCAAAGACCTCAGCATTTACTAGGTGAAGGTTCATGAAAGAGCTGACAAGTGTATATTTTATGTAGTAATTGGTTTCCGTGAGAAAACTTTAGAAAACTTCTGATCTATTGAGCCAATACCAGGCGTGTAGATCTGCCGCATTGCACTTACATTTAAAACAGTCTCGCTTTATTTGGATTTTATTAACAGCTTGTGAAGAAACGATTAATGTTGGAATAATGGTAATGTAGATAATCTAAGCTAATTATTTATAAACCATGATCCACAGACTAATCTAATTATTTAGCTGACTTCACAACACCTACGTTGGTGTCCCCTAGTTCGATCGCTAGCGCACTCAGCTCACATGCTGAGGTTCGGGGTTCGAATCTCCCCCGGTACGGCTGGAAAACATTAGAGACGTGTTTCCATAAGATACCTACTGTCCCTGTTCACCCATCAGTGTAAAATGGGTACCTGGGTGTTAGCCGACTGGTGTGGGTCGCATCCTGGGACAAAAAAAAACTGACCTAATTTGCCCGAAATGCTCAGCATAACAAGCGGCTTTCTATGTAGTAGTATGTCATTGATGTCAGCTAGGACTGTATACCTTGTGTATGTACTTGTAGTAAATAAAGATATATACCATTATTACAAAGATTTATAATAGTGATATTAAACACATAGAAAGTAAATTCTATTTTTTTTCCACAACTGCTTTGATGATGAGTTCTGACGTTGTTCAGCTTGGGGATGCTGTGTATCATTTAGAACTGATAGTGTCTCGTAATGTGGGAAAATTAAACCTTTTTCTAAGAGGAGCAAATGTACTCATCATTGTGTACCAGAGTGTCTTCTGCTTACACCTTCCTGCCTCCAGTCACATTCACCTGGCGTCTTGTGGGGTAGTGGCTGAATGTTTCACTTAATTTGTTATAGTTCTGTAGGCAATAAATTGGGACAAGCCCCTTCGTATAAGTATTTACGTTTATTTGCTATTATCTGAATTGTATTTGTAATTTAGCAAATATTTTATAAATTAATTACAATTTTGCTCACAACTGAACTCGTCTCAAACAGAAAAAAAGGCAAGGGGAGAGGTCACCGATATAGGGATCAATTAAAAGTTCAAAGATACGGCATTTTTAAAAGCTCAAAGATACGGCATTTTTTTTAGTCAAATCTGACAAAGGCTGGCTTGGTCGTCACCATTAACTACATAATAATGATGAATAATGTATTATGATTAATGTACCCTGGCTCATACTTCCTAAATCAATACAGTATTAAATCACTGAGAAACTACAGTTCATAATTTAAAGAAAAATAGAGATAGACATGTCATCACCCTGACTAGGTGTAATAATAACTAAAATATATCTGAAAATTCGAGTCATTTTTTACATTAATAATGTGTTTGCTATCATGTGAAATATCAAAAAACAATTGTCAGACAACCAGTCATGTTGGTGTTGACAGAACTTGATTTCTTTTACCCTACCATAACTTTCACATTTCTGGCACCCTCAGGAAAGTCACTAGTGCCGCAGTGGGCTCAGCTGCGATGGGGCGTGTTTGATGAGATGGGTTACCCAAATGACGAGAGATACCCACTCTTCTACTCCACGGGTAGAGAAGATGCTTCCCGTGTTGATGTACACACTGTATATTATAGACCAAACTACTGTGCAAATGCTTACATAGAGGGTATTGAAAAGTAAGTAATATGTATTACATAACATTGGGTACGGGATTAACGCTTCTCCATCAATAGTACATACCTAGATGTGTTTTGGTCGCTTAGTGACCCGACAAAGTCCCTTGTGTTTCATGGTACGCTGCTGAAATAGTGCAGTTGAAGTTGATATTACAGTTAAATATTATTGTTGAAGATTTGAAGGGAATCAGAATAGGCATTCATGAGTCATCATATGGAAACTAATATACAAATTTCTTCAATAAAAGATGTAAATAATGATATCTACGTCTCAAACTGATTCAACCCTTCCAGAGACCAATATCACTCAGATGTTGCTATTATCACGTCTTGCGCATGGAAGGTTTGCAACTAATCAAATGCGACACACAAATTATCACATGAAAAGCAATATTTAAAAAAATCCAATTTCTTCCTAGAAAGCGAGCTGCAACCTACACATGCTAAAATCAGTCCAAGCATTTCTTAAAGTAATACTGACCAGCTTCTAAGAAAGCAAGATTTACATAAACCTAGTGTATGGTCTTGAGGACACACACATGTTATACACACAGAAGAACAATCAACTGATTTAAACTAGGGTAACTAAATGCACTCAGTAACTTATTTCTGATCAGAAGAGACTTTCTCCAATTATTTCACAGAAACCAATTTGAATAATAAAATTAGCACATGATAATTTACACAACTTAATATAAGTTTATTTCCCTTGAGGAAACACATCACTACTAAAAATGTAAAGTTAACCTGAAAATACATTTTCCAGTTATTGCACAGAATCGAAAAAATTGTTTCCACAGCTTTAATTAATGCAACGTTCTGTCCACTTTATACGATGTATCAGCCATCGAACTGATGCCCTTCACAGTTGTAATATTTTAATCAGATGTACTAAACACGTAGGGGTCATATAGCGCATGGGAAAGGGAAGGCCTTCAAATTCGATTCAAGGGACGATAACCCTAGTTCCTTGGATCAAGATCACCAAGGGAAAAATCGCTTTACAAAGCGTGTGTCCGGGTTCGATTCCCGGCGAGGGTAGAAACATTGGGCGTGTTTGTTTACACCAGTTGTCTATGTTCACCCATCAGTAAAATGGGTACCTGGGTGTTAGTCGACTGGTGTGGGTCGCATACTGGAACAAAACTGATCTAATTTATCCGAAATGTTCAGCATAACAAAGCGGCTTTCTATATAGTAGTATGTCATTGATGTCAGCTAGGACTGTATACCTTGTACATGTATTTGTAGAAATGAAGATATTATTATTCAGTAAATTGGCAAACTGGGACTTAGACGCCCAATGGCAATATTCAGGAAACTAAACAGTTGGTGAAAATTTGAAGACAATAAGACGAGTCATTCTCCAATTATGGCACTTTCAACGATTCCGTTTTTTTTTATAACTCTTTTGCTGTATGCTGGTGAGTTTAGCGCTTAGTTTTTATTATAATAATTATTACTATTTTACATCAATAAATTTGCGTGCACACGAACTAAACTTAATGGGTACTATCATGGCTTTAAGATGCATCACACAATAAATATCGAAGCCGTTCAGAAGTGGTAAACTGAAATTCATATAACGTGATTTAACGGGAATAAGATTTTCTCACTATATTACACATAAATCGTCAAAGCTGCGTCTACTCTGCTGACTTTCACTCTCCCCGTCGTTGTATTATTTTTAGAACGTTTGAAACTCCACCACAGGATTTTGGAGGTTATCCCAAGATGCTGGGAATGTGTTCTTCATTGCTCTACGTAAATGTTTAAAATTGAAAGACTAATGGATGAGGAGTTCTTTGAGTTATGAGCAAAATAATTTCGAAAAGGTAGGAAGGGCAAAAAATAAATTCAAAGTCTCTTAAAGGAACCCCTTAGGGAATATCTAATAATAATAATAGTAATAATAATTTTATAATAAATTACTGCTAAATAATAATAATAATAATAATAATAATAATAATAATAATAATAACTTACACATGTATTGTGGAAAATTGCATTTATCTGGATGTAATTCATAAGGTACATACCAGTAAATGGTAAACACATCGACACCATGCCTAACCCTTCTAGGGTAGGGTAGGTGCCTGAGCCCGAGCCTTTAGCTCATAAGACTGTCATTCCCATTTGCCCCCTTGGGGCGGGGATGGCAGACCAGAGAGGCCTAGCTTGTGGCTAGGCCTGGGGACAGTTGGTCCCAAAGATGAGGAGGTACTTGTGCCTCCTCCCATGGGAGACTTAGGTCTCAGACACTCCCTAAAGAGGGAGCCAAGGCCGGGCCACCACTTGGAAAAGGCCCGGGCCGGGAGAATACCGGCTAATCTTTAATAATAATAATAATGGTAACACAGATAATTATTATTTATCAAAGTTACTTAGACATGTAGGAATTTGGGACACCTAGGTCGCAAAAATGTCCCCCTTCGATACCTACAACTGTCATATCCACAAGTTGCTCTAGACCTATAATTACAAATGAAATGTACATACACCAGGAATTCTGGTAAATATATAAATTTGTGGACTGTATATTAAAATTAATAAATGATACTTATACACATTTATATAACAGAAGGAGAATATATCTTAATATCACTCACCAATTTGTAGATTAATGTGTATCATACTCAAAAACCTCATTCTAACCAAATTTATGAAAATAATGCTGGCCAGAATTATAACACAAATTTAGATAGCTTATCTGAGGTTCCTGGAGCTGTCTTGTCCAGTCGTCTGATATCTCAAGTTATGCAGGAATGCACATCCAACAATTTCGGCTCCTATTTGAGAGGTGTCAGCCCAATTTAACCTCTAGAGCACGAAAATTCTTCCGATTATTCACTAACGTTTGTGTTGACCAGTTCAAACATGGCGAGTCTCCCCTCTGTGCAGGCGCAGAATTTCCCATTTTTTATAACATAAATTTTATTAAATACAATGTATTACACTAATTTACATAAAAAATACACCGTATTTTTTTCGGGAAAATACATTATTTTCCACATGTATGTTAACGTAAACATTAAATCCTGTACCTATATTCATATTACCTAATGGAGAATGCTTCTTTCAACAAACCGGCTGTGTCCCACCCAGGCAGGGTGACCCAAAAGGAAAAAAGAAAGTTTTTACTTTTAAATTTAGTTATGTACACAGAAGGGGTTACTAGCCCCTTGCTCCTGGTATTTTAGTCTCCTCTTACAACACGCATAGCTTACGGAGGAAGAATTCTGTTCCACTTCCCCATGGAGATAAGAGGAAATAAACAAGAACAAGAAGTAGTAAGAAGACAGGAGAAAACCCAGAGGTGTGTGTATATGTATGGTTGTACATGTATGTGTAGTGTGACCTAAGTGTAATTAGAAGTAAGATGATGTACCTGAAAACTTGCCTGTTTATGAGACAGAAAAAAGACACCAGCAATCCTACCATCATGTAAAACAATTACAGGACAATGGAGAATTATCATTATTAAATTCCAGGAATAGCGCTAAATTCGTAAGGGTCACAGCGCCTGGGGAATGGGAGCGGTTGGGGATAATTAGGTATGACCCGAGGAGAAAAGACAATTCCAATTTTTTGGATCAAGAACCCTTAACAAACCAAGAACTTAAGAACTAGTCTTGTATGAAAATGTTGTTTGTAATTCAGTATTTATAATAACGTACATTTACTTATAACGTACATTCACTTACAGTAACATACAATAACTTATAATAACGTACATTCACTTATAACGTACATTCACTTATAATAACGTACATTCACTTATAATAACGCACATTCACTTACAATAACGCACATTCACTTAACGTACCTTCACTTATAATAACGTACATTCACTTTTAGCAACATACATTCACTTAAAATAATGTATTTTCGCTTATAATAATGTATTTTAACTTTGCTGAATTTTCCTTCACATATACTTAACAGGAACGTACAAAGAGTAAGTTATAGCGGGTGCCGTTACGCATCTGACAACTTGCCAGATGGTAACTGTAGGTTTCACCCAGACGATAATCAGACAGCCACATCCTCCCTCATGTCTTACCCTTTCATCCTCAGTAACTCGGTAAGTGCCTCTAAGTTTATGCACTTTAAGTTTTTAAACTTTGTATGTTAATGTATAGCAACTTTCTGAATATATAAATTGACTATACATGTGAATGTTTTCATTAATGTTTGTGTATCTGATGCTTATCAAGTACTTTTGCTTTATCCGAAACTGACCAGGAAGAATGAGTTATAATACCGTCCCTGTAACAATTTACATGACAGTAAATTGGAAGAGGAAATTAGACAACGTTTCTGTCTGTCTTCAACCTTTAATAAGTCTCGGCATGATAATGGTCCAATACGAAAACTCGTCTAGTCCATTTCAAAACTGTGAGCTAGTTGTGAATGGAACTTATAAGGTCATGCCTGACAGAATGGATCATTATATTTACAGAGAGGCGCTAAGCCCATATGGGTTATAGTACCCGGGAATTAGTAGGTAATTAGGCTTGATCCAAGGGCATTGTAACTCACTGCTTGCGTCAGGAACCTTTGACTATCATCAATGCTCACCATTTAAGCCCAGCCCAACTTGACCTGGGTCAATCTAAAATTATGTCGTCTACTTGGATTTCAGTAAAGATTCTGAAACAGTTTCACACAGAATACTGTTTAAAAAAAGTGGCATCACACGGTATAGGAGGAAAATTTTCATGGATTGAGGTATGCCTGACAAATAGGCAGCAGAGATTTGCATACATGGAGTGAAAGCAGAGTTGGGACCAGTCAAAAGTGGCGTTCTACAAGGATTAATTTATGGCCCTTGATGCTATTATTCCACATTAATGACCTTGATGATGGAATAAAAAAATATGTTATGTTATGAGTAAATTCGCTGATACAAAAATAGACTGACAAATTTAGAGGAAGATACCACTGAACTTTAGAATAATTTAAACTGGCTAGAGTTGTGGTCGGAAAAGTGGAAGACGAAATTTAGTGTGGAAAAGTGAAGTCTTGATCCTAGGTAATGAAAATAAATGTAGCACTTGTGAACTAAATTGTATGCTAAATAATAAAATTAATATCAAGTTAATCGCTAAATCCAATGTAACTGGAATAGGATAGACGCTCACTGCTGAAGTCGAATTTTCCTTAATAAAAGGAGGCTAGGCTATAGCAGTATTTTTTTTATTAGGTTAAGAATGATTTGTCAGGAAACAGGACAAATGTCTTATGACGCTGATCTTAGTCATATGATGACCCGTAGCTAGATCTTTTGGCCATCTGACCGAGGCCTTCCGCTGGCTTACCGGTCCACCCCCTGAAAAAATTATGATTATGATTATAACCACTTTTAGGCGTAGCATTTTTTTTGTTATTTAATTTCCCTAACATAACAGTTCACTTTAGTCAAATAAGCAGATCGTTTGGTCTTTTTTTAATACACTGGATCTTAATATTTTCATTATTATTCAAAACAGATTATAGAGTTCTGTGACAGAAACACACACTTGTACGAGTCCCCAAACAAACAAAATGACAAGTGCCAAGGACTGTCTACGTGGCAAGTGATGGAGAAACATCAAGATTTCGCAAATAACGTGTAAGTTCCTCAGGCCAGACTTATTTTAATATCGCTAGTTATAATATGGAAAAATCTTTATTGGGAATGGACAAAAGTGATAGTGATATAATGAAAATTGATGACTGTCGTGTACAGCTAGTCACAAATTTTCTTATCAAAAATAAAAGTCCTAATACATAGTATGGTTGAAGAAAATCATAACTCCACAAACTGAGGTGAGAACAGCATGACATTCAGTCCGTCCTGGACAGATCGAAACGTCGTCCAGTTATTTCAAACATGTTAGTTGTGAACTTTCCTTATCATTTAAATACATTACATGGTGTGTGATTAACAGGAACCCTCCGCGTGCCGCACCACCAGAGGAGCCATCAGTGATCGTAATACAGTCGGTGTTCCCCAGCTACGCCGTCGTCATGGACTACTCGGGCAGCATGTCCACTGAGAGTCGTATTGTTACGTTGCAGAAGACCGCCCAGAGATGGCTGTTACACGAAGCTCCAGACAACAGTTTCGTCTCGCTTATAAGATTCTCGTAAATACAACCATATTTTATCCTATTTATATTCCTAAATCAAATATAAGACCGCTACTCGGCGGATTTCAGCCATTAATTATAGTTTGATATATACCATAAATGTTTGTTTTACAGCTGAGATGTTATTTTGATTTGCAGACACTACCTACTTCCAACACCAAAAAAAAAAAAAAAGTAACCTAACCTAACGCAACATTACTACGCTATGCTCCTGGCTCGTCTTTATTCACACTGGGCCAGGGACATGGCACGACTCATCATTAACCGTTGATTGAACACCAGGTGTGTTAGGAAGAGAAGACCAGTGAATTTTTTTGATCAATAAATCGATCAAAAAATCACTCACTACGAAAGCAAAAGACTTGGCAGACGATGCACCATCCCACCAATGAAAAGCAGGGGTGTCACTAGCACGTTAAGAGACCATACAATAAGTGTCAGGGGCCCGAGACTGTTCAACTGCCTCCCAGCATACATAAGGGGGATTACCAACAGACCCCTGGCAGTCTTCATGCTGGCACTGGACAAGCACCTAAAGTCGGTTCCTGACCAGCCGGGCTGTGGCTCGTACGTTGGTTTGCGTGCAGCCAGCAGCAACAGCCTGGTTGATCAGGCTCTGATCCACCAGGAGGCCTGGTCACAGACCGGGCCGCGGGGGCGTTGACCCCCGGAACTCTCTCCAGGTAAACTCCAGGTAATAGGTGATTATATCAAGTGTAGGGGAATTAGTTTTACATGTACAGAAATTAATGACTTATTTCTAGTAACCAAGAGCAGCAGACTATATAGACAACCAGGGTGGGAGACGACCGACTTACCTGGAGTTTACCTGGAGAGAGTTCCGGGGGTCAACGCCCCCGCGGCCCGGTCTGAGACCAGGCCTCCTGGTGGATCAGAGCCTGATCAACCAGGCTGTTGCTGCTGGCTGCACGCAAACCAACATACGAGCCACAGCCCGGCTGATCCGGAACTGACTTTAGGTGCTTGTCCAGTGCCAGCTTGAAGACTGCCAGGGGTCTGTTGGTAATCCCCCTTATGTGTGCTGGGAGGCAGTTGAACAGTCTCGGGCCCCTGACACTTATTGTTGAAAAAAAAAAAAATATATATATATATATATATATAATATATATATATATATATATATATATATATATATAAAATATATATATATATATATATTTATATATATATATATATATATTTATATATATATATATATATATTTATATATATATATATATAATATATATATATATATATATATATATATATATATATATATATATATATAATATATTATATATATATTATATATATAATGTCGTGCCGAATAGGCAGAACTTGCGATCTTGGCTTAAATAGCAACGCTCATCTTGCCATATAGGACAAGTAAAAATTTGTGTATGCAATAATTTCGCCAAAATCATTCTGAACCTAACGAGAAAAATATATTTCGCTGTGTTTGTTTAGTATTAAAATTATTGTAAGCAAATCTAAAATATATTTAGTTGGGTTAGGCTAAAATAAATTGTTTTTGCTATAATAAGGTTAGGTAAGTTTTCTGAGTCTTTTGGTGCAAAATTATAAATTTTTAAATCAACATTAATGAAAAAAATATATCTTTAAACGTAAAGAGAAAATTTCAAAAGGACTTAATTTTAAATGAGTTTTTGCTAATTGACCAGTTTTACATATTGGGCACGACATATATATATATATATATATATATAAATATATATATATATATATATATATATATATAAAATATATATATATAAAATCTTGCCATATTCTGTAGTGGAAGGGGGTGGAGCTGCCAGCCACAGGGAGACCCAGAAGATCCGAAAATATAAAAGCCCTTCCCCCTTGCTATAACTTCATTCCAATAGGGTCGAGACCCTTGGAGCATGGGGCAAGTGTGCTCTAAATTTTCCTCAAAGAGCTGGGTGAAAAGCTCATCATAGAAACCAAAGGGACCACAGGGCGACCAGCTTCCTCTTTCAGAGACTCAGTGTTGCGATCCAGAAAAGGAAATGCCTGCAGCATTCTGGGCACGCGGCCCACCGCAGGGAGCTGGACGAAAGTATTCGAGATGTAGCTCTGAGTTACCTATGTTGTTTTACTTTGTATCATATTTTTGTGAATGTTTTGTCAATGTATTTTGTCTTTAAATAAAATATATATACATAATATAGGGGGTAGTAGGAGAAAATTCTCAAACAGCTTCAGGGGGAATCTTGAGTTTTCCCTGAAGCAAGTTTATTCTTTCTCTGAGGATGAGGGTCCCTATGACAGTTCTAGAGGTGGTACCTCCCTATATTTATATATACACACACACACACATTATTATATATATATTATAATATATATATATATATATATATATATATTATATATATATTATTATATATATATATATATATATATATAGTTCATTAAAATAACCTAAAATAATAAAAAAAGGATGCCTAAATGTAAAATGTGCAAATTATGTGACAACGTGCCTGGAGTGTGGAATTGTTTTATAGTAAATGTTGTTATTTATGCGGTTGTGACGTTTAGATTTAACATAATCCCATTCAGTATTAGGTATGCACAATAACTTATCTAAATTTAGTAGCTTTCTACTTTTATTACAAATACGATTTGTTCTCACATCAGGAAATTTTATTACCTTAAATGTTGAATGAATCATCCAAAATGAATTTCTTTTAGGTTTTCTAACCATTATTTTACTTACTCAAGGTTTCAGAATTAAGCATTGAAGACTGCCAGTCCAATATTTCATATGTGAATGTTATATAGTACGTTGCTGTCTCCCTAACAGAAGCTCCCCGGCCAAAGTGTTGGTGCCACTCACACAGCTCAGCGACAAGACAGTGAGACAGACCCTGGCCAACAAGATTCTTACAGATAACCAAGGCGGCACTAGCATTGGCTCCGGGCTTAGGACCGCTGTCCAGGTACGCATCATCACCTAGGGAGGATGAAATGAACTAGCTCTAGGCCTACCGCACTGCAACCAGTGCCTCGTCAGGAGCCATACAATGTTGCAATAATAATAATAATTTTTTATTTGGACATGATACATAGTTGTACAAGGAATTATAATAATCGGGTGTACATGCCAAAAGCCCCTTGTATGCAGAGCATTATGGGCAGGCTTAAAGAAGGCTTAAAGAAGAGTGGTAAAAATGTAGAGGAAGAGAGCAGATGACAGAAAGTACTAGATATAAGAACAAGCGATAAGGAAAAAAAGCTGTAGTAGCCCTATAAAAATTAATAAAATCTAGCACTAAGGTCCAAAGTAAACGAACAACCTAATTCAGCGGGCACTTCTTGATTCGCCGTTACTCTGCCGGCCCGGGTCTTTTCCAGATGGTGACCCGGCCTTGGTTCCCTGTCTTGGGAGTGTCTGAGACCTACGTCTGCCATGGGAGGAGATGCAAGTACCTCCTCATTTTCTGGGACCAATTCTCCCCAGGCCTAGCCCCATACCCCGCCCTCACGGGTCTCGTAGGGAGCAACTAGGCCTCTGGTCTGCCAGCTTCCCCGCCTCAAGGGGGCTCGTGGGAATGACATTCTTGCGATCTGCAGGTGGTAGCAAGCTCTGGCCATTCATATTGTGGGCACTTAGATAAACGTCTAACCGGCATAAACTACGCTTCATCAACTGCTAAGTACAGTTAGTTTCCAGAGAGTTATAGGGATTGGGAACAGTATCTAACCTTATAAAAATGTAATTAATCCCACGAACCTGTATTTAGCTTAAGAAAATTTTTATTAATCCTTGCTTCCAACAGATGATATGACATAGCTATACGTAAGCTGTAACTGTAATATTAGAGTATGTATATCCTAATGTATTTATGTATCAAAACTGCAGTAGGGTAGAAGACTTATGGCAAGATCTGGAATTTGGGGCTTAGTTTTTATATCACGTTGTATATTCAATAATTAAAGTTTTTTTTTCACTAATCTGACTAGAGAATCTGTTCTGTACGTTTTCTTTTACTAGAGTACACTGATTATATAGTCAGAGCCAGGTTATAACAACTTGATTAAAACAAACTCCCTTTTTAGTAGTTTGGTGGCCGCGTTACATAATCATGTAACTATTATACACTGATTCTCTCTCAGTCAAATTAGTTCAACAATCACTCTTTATTTGACTTGTATATACAACGTGATATACAAAGCCAACTCCAGATTCGAGAATCTCGCCTTAAGCCTTCTACCCTAAGTAAGTTTATTCAGGTACAGGTACACATAAATAGTTACATAAAGTATCATACGTAGCAACATATGTGTAGATTACCTAGGATAACCCAAAAAAGTCAGTGACTTATTTCATTGGGGTCCTTGTAATATCTTATTAAATCGTAAAAGTTAAAACAGCTAAGTAACTCAACTATGTGAAAGGGAGATATACTAGGAATAAGATAAACCGAATTATTTACATTAATATTAAAGAGAGGATCAGATCGCAGTAATAGGAACATGAATGTTACGGTTACAGATATAAAAGCAATCACTCTCCACCCTTTCGGTGGCTTCCATTAATTAAGTACCTTTTAGCTCTCTTCCTGACCTGGCTCATGTTTTGACATGTACGGGCAGTCCGCTTCACACCTTTATTGTTGTACAATAAAAGGTGTTTGAAGACTGATTACCTACTATGGGTACTACAAAGCTGTGTTCCCTTCCCCTAGTATTACACTTGTTTTGGGTTCCAGCCCTGACAATCTTGGCAGAAAGATATTCTGGACTGTGCTTGTGAATAGTTTTATAAACATGATTTAACATTAGTTGTTTTACTCTGTCTTCAAGATTCAGCATATCGAGTTGCTGTAATTCATCCAGGCCAACCTGCTCTCTCTTAGATTCAGGTCCAGGATAAATCTCACCATTTTGTTCAGGGTGATTTGTAGTCTGTCTTGCCGTATTGCAGTTTGTAAATATATTAGGATATACAGTTACAACTTATAGCTACCCCAGAACATCTACTGGAACGGGAAATAAAAATTTTCTTAAGCTATATGCTGGTTCGGAGGATTAATTGAGTTTTTTGTAAGGTTAAATGCTGTTCCCAGTCTTTAGAACTGTATGGAATCTAACTGTAATTAGAAGATAGTTGACAAGGGGTAATATTATATGTTGTATTTAGCTATTTAAATGCCAGCCGAATTGGTTTTAAGAAATTATTTGCTTTGGACCTTAATCTTAGATTAACTGTTTATCAGTTTTATAGGGTTGGTGGAGCTGTCACCCTTATACCCTGTTCTTACTTGGTGCTTTCTGTGTTCTTATGCCCTTACCGCATCCCCACTTCTTTTTAGAATGACAGAACAGAAGCGTTGATGAGTTACAGTTAGAACGTATTTTTGTTAGTAAATTAGGAAATCACTAAACTCATTGGGGAATGCTAGACAATCAGGTTTTATTTGAGAAATGGTAAAGCAGCTGTAATTCCTCGGATCAAAAGCCCTTTACCAGCATCAAGACTGCCCCCCCCTCCTAGATGGAATTAACTGGAGAGCTTGACTAGTCACCCCAGGTAACCAGCAACACAGTGACTGGCAAGAATCATTACGACTAATACCTGCCAACCTTTCCTTATAGACACTGAGCGGTAAACATAACAAAAACATCCTGATTATCACTGACGGTGAAGAGAATGAAGATCCTCGCATCAGTGATGTTCTAAACGAGGTGATTCAAGCCCGCATCTGTGTTATAACTGTGGCCTTTGGGTAAGTTATTGTTTTCTTAAATATTTTGAGTCTTCCTGTCATAAAGTGTTACACAAAAAACAGCGAGAGCGTGATGCTGCAGTGGGTGGGTGTTGAACATGCTTATCATGGCCCAAAATGCCTACCGCAGTGTTCCTTCATTCTTATGTTTTCAGATCTAACGCTGACCCCAACCTGGAGGTACTGTCGGATAAGACCGGGTGCAAGTCCTATACTGTCAATGATAACGACCAGAACACTATGTTGCAGGACGCCTTTCAGGAAACTCTCACACGTCAGCCAGGCAAGGAAATCCGGTTCATCGATATTATGGTTAGTTCTCTACCACAGTTTTCGTTCGTATTTGTTGTATATGCTCTGGTGTTAAATTATTATTATTATATTATTATTACTATTATTATTATTATTATTACTGGCTATAGTTACAGACTACTACTCGGCGGATCTCTGGCATTTTTTTTTATATTTTATTTAAAACATCATAAATACAAGGCTGCTTAAAAATTAAATAGCATCACCATACATAATCTATAGAGTACAACAAGATACACACCATAAATACCAGAAAAAAAAATCTTTGTAACTAATACTGTGGAAATTATTTAATTTCCGAAGCTATAGTGCCTAATAAGTGTTTAATGTGTTGACTTGGGTCAAAATGTATTTGTATTTTGAATGGAACCAACTGGGTTCCCGCTGCGCCTGCGCAGATGTGCGGGGGTATAGGTCGAACTGGGGCACGAGGGGGCGGCAGTGTTTTGAATGGAGTGAGGAGGCTGTGAAAACCTGGGATCAGGAAATTGGCGTTCACGGCGGCCTAAGGATTAATATGGGCCTCACTTCATAATAGGAAGTGTCGTAACTGTTCCTGGTGAACAGTGAGGGAACGTGATTTACGGGACCACCGTAAAAAGGTGGTAAAATTAGTGAATAATGGTTCGACCAGGTGTGACTGGTGCGCGGCCATGGTGTGTGTCCAGGGGAAATACCCGTGTGTTAATCCTCACTCATCGGCCTCAGATCTTAATGGAGTGACCTCTAATGTGTATAATAATTATGAGACGTTAAATCGTCTTGTGAATGGTAATGTAATCAGTGATAATAACATTAAGTTAAGAGAATGCGGGATGTGAAATAGATCGCCCTGCTCCGAGTGAACGCGTGATTCTCGTACCGAGGATAGTGAAGCTTTATGGAATCACGACTTCTAAACTGGGACAAACCGACGGATGGATACCTCGTCCTGCTGGAATAAGAACCGTGTCGGTGTAGCAGGACATCGAAATGAGATGGTGACTGGAGGGAATAAGGAGTACCAATCACCCACAGTTAAGTAACCCTTCTAGTTATAGCAGACTGATACTGGCCAGTTAGGTATGTTGTAATTGGATAGGTTATGGGTGATCCAGCTACATCAAGTGACCACCAGAGAATATCTGGTAAGTGGTGAGATTATGTACAAGTGTTTTCCTTGATGGATATATCCATGTGTAACCTACCCCACCCCCCTGCATTCAGTTAAACTAATATAATCTATACAGTCCACAATTAATTAGTAGCACCGTACTTGTGGGTGCTATCCAATCCATACTGGTCTCGGATAGATATGGATAAGATTGTGAGGTCGAAGGAACCACTTGCCGTGACCAGGGGTGGTTAAGTTTTCTCGCATGTCTACACGGGGTGACTACGGTAAACAATATGGTTGTCTCCCAATGAGTTTACTTGTAAGCATGTAATGTTGAGGTACATAAAGGTAATCACCCTATAAAATTTTCCATATCTGCCCACTGGTCCTTCCTGAACCGGATGCAATCAGTAAAAAATTAATTGAATTAATTACTTAATAATTAAGTGACTGATTGAAGGAAGTGGGTATAGGGTACACAAATTTAATCGGTCGTGTGGTGGAGGATAATTAGCCCAATTACTAGCACATGGGTGGCTAGGATTTATACAAGAGTAAAGTGCAAGAATTACTCTCACAAGGTGTCTACTTAAGTTGTATAATTGGTGATTATTAATTCCCTAACCATGGCTGGGTCTGAGAAAGTTAGTGCGGCTGGCAAGTCCATGGATGCCAAAGCAAAGAAAGCGTCACTACAAGCTCGGAAGGGTCATGTTACTAAATCATACAAGTGTTAATGAGTTAATGAGACAAGAAACGGTAAACCCTGATGAATTAAAGCTACACCTAGATGCCTTAGAAAATAGATATGAGTAATATAGATTGTGGTA